AAATCATCATTTAAAAACTGCATTTTGTATTTACTTGCATTATCTTTGTGTAATATTAAAATTTGTTTGATGATCAGAATCTTTTAAATGTGACAAATATGCAAAAAATAAAAAAAAACAGGAAGGGGGCAAAAACCTTTCAATACCTTTCAAACCTTGCAATTCAATAATGCATTCAAAAATAGTGTATTGTGAACTTTTTTCATTTAAAAGTACTGCTATATGAACAAAAGTGAAGAGAACCCAATCAAACAAATGAGACAAAAATATTTTCTTTGTAATTTATTTATTGAGAAAAATTATCCAGAGTTACATATCTGTGCGGTGCAAAAGTATGTGAATCTCTAGGATCAGCAGTTAATTTGAAAGTGAAATTAAGAGTCCATCTGTTCAGAGGTGTTTTCATTCAGTGAAATGATCAGAAAATCAGGTGTCATTTCCTGCCCTGTTTTATTTAAAGAACAGGGATCTATCAAAGTCTGACCATGTTTATGGAAGTGAATCATGGCACGAACAAAGGAGATCTCTGAGGACCTAAGAAAAAGAGTTGTTGTTGCTCATCAGGCTGGAAAGGTTAAAGAGTTTGGACTCCACATATCCACAGTCAGACAGATTGTGTATAAATGGAGGAAATTTAAGACCATTGTTAACCTCCACAGAAGTGGTTAACCAAAAAAAATCATCCCAAAAGCAAGATGTGTAATAGTCTGCAAGGTTGCAAAGGACCCTATGGTAACTTCTAAGCAAGTAAAGGCCTTTCTCCCATTTGGAATTGAATCATGGCACGAACAAAGGAGATCTCTGAGGACCTCAGAAAAAGAGTTGTTGTTGCTCATCAGGTTGGAAAAGGTTACAAAACTGCCTCTAAAGAGTTTGGACTCCACAAATCCACAGTCAGACAGCTGTACAAATGGAGGAAATTCAAGACCATTGTTACCCTCCCCAGAAGTGGTCCACCAAACAAAGATCACTTCAAAAGCAAGACGTGTAATAGTCCACAAGGTCGCAAAGGAACCCAGGGTAACTTCTAAGCAACTAAAGGCCTTTCTCACATTGGCTAATGTTCATGAGTCCACCATCAGGAGAACACTGAACACCCATGCTGTGCATGGTAGAGTTGCAAGGAGAAAGTCACTGCTGTCCAAAAAGAACATTGCTGCCCGTCTGCAGTTTGCTAAAGATCATGTGGACAAGCCAGAGGGCTATTGGAGAAATGTTTTGTGGACGGATGAGACCAAAATAGAACTTTTTGGTCTGCATTCCAGCATAAGAACCTCATCCCATCTGTGAAACATGGTGGTGGTAGTATCGTGGTTTGGGCCTGTTTTGCTGTATCTGGGCCAGGACGACTTACCATCATTGATGGAACAATGAATTCTGAATTATACCAGCAAATTCTAAAGGAAACTGTCCGGACATCAGTCCATGAACTGGATCTCAAGAGAAAGTGGGCCATGCAGCAAGACAACAACCCCAAGAACATAAGTCGTTTTACCAAAGAATGGTTAAAAAAGAACAATGTTAATGTTTTGGAATGACAGAGTCAAAGTCTGGACCTTAATCCAATTGAAATGTTGTGGAAGGAGCTGAAGCAAGCAGTTCATAGGAGGAAACCCACCAACATCACAGAGTTGAAGTGGTTCTGTACTGAGGAAGGGGCTCCTTCCGGAGCTCCTCCGTGGGACTCGAGACCGGTGAGTGGTGCAGGTTACTCCACCGGCCTCGCTCCGTTCCCACGGCTCTCGGCCCCGCCCCCTCTCGTCACACAGCACAATAATTGTTTTATCTTTGTTATCTTGTTTTTACAATTGTTGGAAGCCAAAATTGTAGTTTAATATCCTGGTTCTTTTTATTATAATGAAAGTTATGGGGACTGGGGCCATTCAACTCTAAAATGACAAAGAAGCACTATAAAAGTGTTTCACATGACTCATGCACTTCAAGCAATTTTACTGAAATCTTCCACTCATACCTGGCTAATGCAACATATTTGATTTGAGAGCCAAAGCAGAGGGCAGGTTTTAAGGGATCCAAACCTTAAGTCTGTTTATTCAGTCTGTTTACTATTATATGACTTCAAAACACATAGTGCACAAATAGTGCGGACCATATTTATGATGCATTTATGGTGCTTGTTTTGTTCTGTTTGAAGCTTGACAGTCCCAAACTCTATTTACTTTCATTATATCAAGAGAAAATTCACCTTTTGCGTTCAACAAAATGATGGCAGAATTCCCTTTTTCATGTAACCTCGTCCTAGTTTCTGGCCAAAACGTCATTCATTCTCTCTCTTTTTGTGACCTTCTTGTAGCTGTCGACTCATTCGACCACAAGAGGTTTTTTGAGATGGTCGGACTGAAGGCGAAGTCAGCTGACGATGTGAAGAAGGCTTTCTATGTCCTAGATGCAGACAATAGCGGCTTTATAGAGGAAGAGGAACTTAAGTAAGATTACACCATTTCTATACTACAAGCAAACCAGCTTGTTACCAGTAAGATTTGTAATTGAAACTCTCAATGTTAAGGGCGAGCACACAGTACATTTGAAAGGTGTTAGACTCTCTTTGTTTCCTCTGTGCAGGTTTGTTTTGAAGCATTTTGCTACAGATGGGAGAGACCTGACCGACAAGGAGACCAAAGCATTCCTGCAGGCTGCGGACAAAGATGGAGATGGAAAGATTGGAGCAGAAGGTAAAATGAAAATAATATACCATAACACCAGGGGCGTCGTGCATCTATTTTATTTATTTATTTTTTGAGGGGGCATCAGTGGGAGCCCTGACTTTGATAAGTGATAAGATATGAAAACACTTTCTTTTTAAAATATAAAAAAGTACTAGAATGAATCTTTTAGAATGACTGATTAAAAATAACTTTTTCATTAGAGTAATTTGAATCAGACACTATGATTCTTATTCTCTGATATCTCACAAAACTGTATATGGATGCACACAAAGTTTTCAAAACTGATTACATTTTAAATGTTTGTGCCATTTATTTCTTTATTGCACTTACAACATTTTAGTTGCAGTCTGTAACCCTTATGAATGTGATGCTTCTACTAACCCATATTATGCACTTTTTTTTTCATCAAAAAAATGCCAATAATCTCTTTCTCTTCCTGTTTCAGAGTTTACTGCTCTGGTTCGTGAATAAGTGACTCAAATACTTGGCCTGTTCATACCTTATGACCCTTTGACCTCAACCTCAGCGTAACGCCCCTGAAGCACAGACACACACTCACTTACACACACCCTCACACGCTTGTACGCCCCATCCTGAACACCTCCCTACACACAGACACACAAACTGACCTTCATGCTATTTATTTTCCTTTTTATACAAAAGTGAGTGTTTCTGCTAGTGTATAGATCAAGAGACCTTTAACAGGGCAAAACCTCATGCCGACAATATGTAGATATATTAGAAAAGAAAACAATGCATTCGCCATCGTCCACTATTCTTCGTCTGTCTTTATCTTCCTTGTATCTCTCGCATTGATCTTTCGTTCCTCTCCTCCCCTCCAAACTCTCTCCATCTCTCCGGTTATAAGCTGTTGTGAAACACACCAAAAGAAGAAAGAGGTCAAGTTGTGAAAGAAAACAAAATAAAGAGACAATGCCTCAAGAGTTCCAGTGTGTAATGAATCTATTTGTGTTCTCTCTCTCTTTTTTTTTTATAATTAGGTGGAAGTATGGTATGTCCTGACAGGGTTGCAAAATTTTGAATTACAGGAATAACTTTCTCTTTTAATTCATGGGTGTGTATTTAAATGGCATTGGCCACACCCCACAGGAAGTTGGAATTGGAATTTGAATGGCAGGATTAAGAGGAATTTAATAAATTGTAATTCAGTGAAATGTATCTATCATCTCTCTCTCTATTGTACTATCTACAGTATCTATCTATCTATAATGAGAGTTATATGAATTTCTTTATATTTCAGTTCATTTTTAATTTTAATTCCTCTCATTCAAATTTTAATTTAAATTCTTTGTTCAGTTTTCTATCTCAATTCTAATTCAGGAATTTACTTAGAATTTAAAAGTCATTCTCAATTTAAATTCTGAATGCTGCACAATCCTGACATCTGACACACAACATACATATATATATATATATATATATATATATATATATATAGTATCTCACAGAAGTGAGTACACCCCTCACATTTTTGTAAATATTTTATTATATCTTTTCATGTGACAACACTGAAGAAATGACACTTTGCTACAATGTAAAGTAGTG